CACTTGACGTCCAGGCTGGCGTAGCCCTCAAACTGCAGGGTGGTGTTGGGGAAGGCGGCCTGACAGCCCAGTCGGTGGCCATTGACCTCCCTAGTGGGCACAAAGTGCAGCAGCGACACCTGCACCCAGGTGCCCTCGTCCTCGCGCAGCCGACCCAGCACACTGGGCTCCCCCAGCCCCTCGTGGCCCAGCCAGGTCAGCTCAGGCCGCAGTTCTGGGCAGTTGTCTGGCACCATGCAGCTGACCTCCACTTCCTTCCCTGCCACCACTTCCGGGGGCACCACGATGTTGGGGGTGTCTTTGTGAGGGAGGAAAAAGAAGAGTTGAGACAGCACTGGGCAGCCAGTCACCTCCACCTTGTCCAACTCCGTCCCCGGTACCTTGTCCCCTCCCGTGTGCCTGGACGCTCAGTTCCCCACAGCATTGTCTTCTCTTGATCATTCTTCATCCAGAAGCCCTAGCACAAGCGATCAGTGAGCAATAACCTAGTGGTCCAGTGAGTGCTTGTGGGCTTGACCTGCCGGCCCTTCTAACATTGCTGAAGAGTGGGTGTGAGTATGATGCTCATTTTGCAAATGAGGAAACTAAGGCCATGTGGGCTTGGAACCATGTGGGCCCTGGCTCCACCCTCTGAGCTGCGGACACTGTGTTATATTCCCTTAGAAATTTCTCTCCAGCACTTGCTTTAATTGTGTGTGTGTGTGTGTGTGTAGTTTATGTATATGTGTGGTACATTGTAGGTAGTATATGTATTGTGTGATGTGTGTATGTTGTGTTGTGTAGTTTCTTTCTACACCTGGACTATAATCTGGTTCCTCTTTGAAGCACCTGAATCTGAGAGCTGCAATCAGCAGGGCCACTGGAAATGAGGCAGTAGGAATACCTGCAGTCAGGCAGTGTGCTCTGTTTGGATCACCAGCAATGCAGTTCATGGGCCTTGCACATGCTAGGCAAGTGCTCTAAACCACTGAGCCATTTCCTGGCCCAGGATTTTTTTTTTAACTTAAATCCACAGCCAATATTTAAGAATTAGGAGACAACACTGAAAAAAACTTGGGGTTCCTTCAAAATTCTGAATGCCTGACACTAATGGCCCAGCACTCCACCAGCCAGAGCTGGGTGCACAGCCTAGAGCAATCATGCATTCATTGGCTCTAAGTGCTATTCTTATCTTCATTTGACAGAGGCCTCAGTCAAGGCCCACCCGGAAGTTAAATAACTTGCTCAAGGTCATGTAGCTAATGCAGGGATCCAGAGGCCTTGCCCTCGGCCCTGGGCACCACTGCTTTAGTGCCAGATGTTTCCAGAAGAGAAAAAGCAGTCATTTTCCTCCGAGGGCAGCAAGACCATTTGGGGCCCTTCTCTACTCAATTCTATCTTCTCTGAGGTCTATGGGGGCACTGACTTTGCACCCTTAGCCACGTCAACCCTCCTGTGCCTTTCATCTGGACTTACTGGGATAGGTGCAGAGCATAGACTGCCACACCCTGGCCCACCCCAGTGTCTCCACACACACACACACACACACACACACACACCCCGTGAAGCCTCTGGGAGACTCACTGATGATGTCCAGGACGCTGTGCTCTGAGAAGGTGTACTGATTGTAGCCTCCCAGGTCCCCGCGGAAGTAATACTTGCCGCCCAGTTCGGGGCTGAGGGTGCTAAGCAGGAGGGTGCAGTTGCGCAAGCCCAGGTCCCCCAGCAGGCGGCTGCGGCCCTGGAAGCTCTCGTGGACAACTTGAGTGCGAGACTTGAAGACCACCGGCGGGTAGTTCTTGGGGTAGGGGCTGTTGAAGTACCACACTCCGTGCACCACAGCTGGCCGGAGCTCATCAGGGAAGTCAAAGCGGCAGGGGATGGAGACGCACGTGCCCTCAAAGGCCGAGATGGATGAGGGCATCCAGGCCCCCCAGTGACCTCCTCTGGAGGCTGCAGGCAATCAGGATCACCAAGGCTGAGAGAGCTGCCCCAGCTGATTATCCCCCTCCAACTCCCATCACCTGCCACTGGCCTAGGGGCCCTGGGACCAAGGCTTAGAATCCCAGTAACCCTCGCCACGGTCATTACCTGAAATCATAATCCAGAACATAGGCAGTGCCGTGAGGAATATCATTTTGTATAGCAAGTAAGCAAGCTGGAGCTGGACAGAAAGAGGAGCAGGTTAGAGGCCAGGGAAGTGAAAGGCGGAGCTTCCTGAAAGGCTTAGGGAGAGACCCTTGTGGAGCTTAGCTGCTGCTGCTCTCACGATCACAAATATGTTTGTGACACTGGCCATATGCCAGGCTCGGCGCCTTGGGCTGCTAATATCAGGTCCTCTGATTTCTTTGAGGTAGGTGCAATCATTGTTCTCATTTTATAGCTGAGGTCCAGAGAGAGCAAGTAAATTGCTCAAGGACACACAGCTGCTCTGCAGGCTTAGCCGCCAAGCTGATAATAATCACCAGCGATGCATCAGTGGGGATCTCCAGGAGCCAAGGACAGAGCCCAGGCTAGCCAGCAGCAGGAAACGGGAAGCAAGGGAAGCCAGAAAGAAGGGGAAGTTGGTACCCTGACCCTTACCTTGGTCTCCCTGAGTTGGGAATATCTTGCGGTGTCACCTGGGGCCGTTAGCCAACCTGGAACAAGTCAGACAGGACATGGAGGCCTGAGTCCTAAGTGTCCTTCCTTTCAGTTTGCTCCTGTGGGTGATGATTTGTGCTAAGGCTGCGCATGTGGCCTCTGCTGCCCTCAGTGCCTGGGACCCTCCCACACAGCCAAGAAACTCCGCTACGGCACACCCAGTTGGGATGTGGGGGAGCTACCAGGAGGGGTTGGGAGCAATGGCGTCAGGTGGAAGGGCAAGGGGCGTGGTGAGTGGGGTGAAGGAGCAGATGTCCCACGGCTGAGGCCCGGGGGTGGCAGCCAGGGACCCAACCTCATCAATGACCGGGTTTCACAGCATCAGCATTCCCAACATGCCGCGTGAATTCCTGCCGCCCTCTCCTACCCCGCAGCCGGCCCCTGGTGTCCCATTCCGCAGCAGAGGCTAGTACCCAGTACAAAAGAACCCTGTTCCCTCGAGGCGAGGGTGCCTCGTCCTGGGGGCTCCTGGGGTAGGTGGGTTGTGAGAGGAGTCGGAGCTTCTAACCAGGCTCTGAGTGCAGCCAGGGAGGTCTCGGGGTTAGTGAGTCCCTGGTCTCTGACAGCTCCATGGGTTGCCTCGGGGTTGGAGCCAGGATTTCCAAGTGGCCAAATTTCCCAGCCTTTGCTGCCCTCTTCCCACGGACACAGACACAGGCACACACGCATGCACACACTGGTATGAAATGTGACAGCCAAGAGCAGCTCACACAACAGAGACACTGAGGACACTACGAGCACCGAGCCTCTGTCTGCAGAGCTGTGCTTGCCACTTGCTCGGTCTCCTGTGTACCACAGCCTGGGCAGAACTAGGCGTGGCATGCAGGTGCTGCCTGTGAACCGTGCTCACAAGACACAGGGACCCGCACACACGCACTGAGGTGTAACTATAGAGCCAGGCACAAGCCAGCAGACACTGACAGATGTGGCCCTTGTGCCTGCAACAGCAAAGCACAGGAGACAAGCACAGGTGAGGACCAGCCACACAGCCTGGGCAGACATGGGAAACGAGCATGTAGACCATGCACTCTTACTGGGTTGGACAGAGGCTTAAGGTGGGGACCCAAACAATCTTGGCTATGACCTTGGTCTGCAGCTCTCTAACAGGCCACAGTATAGACAGTCTGCAGGGCTGAGCTGGCAAGCAGGGAGAGTAAGAAAAACTCATCTACAAAGTTCCTTTACTGGAGTGTAATGAGAAAAGTTGAGAAACACTAGTAAAGGTGAGATTGCAAGGGAAATGTACACACACAAACACACACACACAAACAAACACACACAACTGTTGTGCACTCAGGTGCCAGAATTTGCCTGTTCACAACCCACTGCCCTCACCACCTCCCAGATTGCAACATGCAGGGGTCTGATCACCTGAGCATCCTGTTCTTTGCTGGCCCTAGACCACTGCTGCTTCATCTGTTCCAAACTTAGGGGCCCCAGGAAAGCTGCTGCTGTAGAACCTCTAACCATGAGGTGGGCCAGAGGTGTGCCAAGGTGGGGGGCCCTTGTTTTTTCTTCCTGTAGTTTCTTCCCAAAGCCCCAGCACTGTTTCCACTGGGGTCCTTGCCCATTTTACAGCAGTCCCAAGAAGTTCTGGGACACATCCTAAATTAGTGCTATTTGCAGAGACCCTCACCCCTTGCGCACGCTCTGAGCACCACTCGGCCTGTCCTGTCGCCCCTCCAGGGTGCTCTGCCCTCCCGGTGCACGGTCCTCTCCACCTCTGTACTCACTCGGATGCTCTGGCTTCTGCAGCCTCTGCTCCGGCAGCCCAGCTCACAGTCCCCTGGCCTCCCAGGGTCTAGGCCCCCACTTCCAGCCCTCCCCTTCTCCTGGGTGCCAGGGGCCGCCTGCCTCCAGGGCCCAGCTCCTCCCTACCCCCGGGGGAAGGGGGCACAAAGGGGCCCTTGTCCCCACGGGGCTTGGACTGGGCAGCCTGATGCCTGGGTTCTGTTAGCTCCTTCCTGAAGAGGATGGGGGCTGCATCACTCCTTCCCCCTCCTGCACCCCTGTAAACCCCAACTCTGGGCCCCTGGAGGCAGTGATGGCTCACCTCTCTGGAAGTCCCAAACTGAGGGACAGAAGATACTGTCCTCAGGGAACTGGTGGCAACATGACATGAGACCCCAGTCCTGAGAAGCAAGCCAAGGGCAGTTTGGTCAGGAGGAGGGAACAGCTGATTCCCTCCTCGGCCTCCGTGTCACCTCCATCCAACATGTCTCGGGTCACCCCCACCCCAGCCCACCCCCTTTTCCTCTTGACCTGATGTGTTATCTGCCTCTTCTCATGAAAACACAACCTCCATGGGGACCAGGGCTTCATCTGTGTTATTCCGTGTCTGTCCCTGCTTGTTAATAAACACGGTGTGGGTGGCCGAATGTATTCCTTGAATACCCAGTGGTGGCACCTGTTGCTCCTCCTTCCTGGGAAGCTGTCTCTGACCCACCTCATGGCCCACGCCGCCCCTAGTCACAGCCTCCTTGAGCTCATTCTTGGAGGTCACCTCCTCAGTGGGTCTTCCTTACTTGCCCCTTGATTTAAGTGATGTCCTTTCCTTCCAGGGAGTTCAGCCTGTTCCACTTCCTATCTCGATACGAGTCCTCAGAGGGCAGGGCTTTGGCCAAACTCCGTCTGTCTGTCTATGCACCCTTGGGTCCCTAGAGCAGTGCTTGATACACAGGAGGCTGTCTGGCTCTCTGAGTGGGTGAGGATGCTCTGGGTGTAGATATGGTGCCCTTTCCCTCGGTGTGAACTTTGCGAGGTGGGCAGGGGTGCTGGAGGTGGTGTGACCATGAGCAGCAGTGCTTAGACTTGAGAAGTTCGGCAGGCCAGAGCAAAGGGGAGGTGGGGCAGGGAGGGTCCCTTCTCCCAAGGGAGGACCCGGCTGAGGGGTGGGGAAATCCCTCGGACCAGGGAGCAGAAGGCTGAAGGGGTGGGGGAGTCCCACCCCCACCTTGGGCTTCATGATGTCAGACTCTGCCCGTGCCTTTCCCAGTCTGGGACAATGGCCCATTGAAAGTGGGGTGCGGCTTGAACACCCAGACCCTGGAGAAGAGAAAGGCCCAGTGCCTGGGCTTTGGACAGGACACAGAGATCCAGGGTAGTCTACGTCACGGCCTTGTATCCGCACAAACCTGGCTGGGTGGTTTGCCTGTGCCGCTGAGACTGCCTGTCCTCGCCTAGCATGACTGCAGGTCACTCCTTGGGGAACGGATGCACAGGCCTGTGTCCCACGGAGACAGCCTGGGCTCCAGCCTGCAGGAATGAGCCAGGCTGGGGTGAGAGCACGTGAGGAAGGGAGGTGGGGAATGCGAAATGACGGAGCAGGTGTCTTGTCCAAAGAGTGCGGTCACCAGGTAGACCCAGGGGCCAGTACTGCCAGGTCAGCCAAGCACTTGAGAGAAAGCAGGTGTACTAGTTCGCTAGGGCTGCTGTAACAAAGTACCACAAATCCTGTGGTTTAAAAACCAGCATGAAGCCAGGTGTGGTGGGATACGCCTGTAATCCTAGTACTCGGGAGGCCGAGACAGGAGGATCGCTGAGAGTTCAAGGCCAGCCTGAATTAAAAAGTGAGATCCTGTCTCAAAAAAAAAAAAAAAAAAAAAAAAAAAAAAAAAAAAAAAAAAAAAAAAACAAGCAAAACAAATAAACAAAAACCAGAATGTATTGTCTTACAGCTTTGGAGAATTGAATTCCCAAATCAAGGTGCTGGCAGCATCATCTCCTTTTGAGGACTAGGAAGGGATCTGTGCCAGGCTTACAGATAGCTGTCCTCACATTCCCGTGCCTTCCATCTTTGTGTGTCTCTGTCCAGATTCCCCCTTTCCTCAGATACCAGTCAAATTGGACTAAGACCCAGCATAACGGTCCTATTTACCTTGAGGACACTGGCCATATTCTAAGGTAATGGAGGTCAGGACTTCAGCATGTGAATAATCAGCCGATAACAGCAAGCATTTTTTGTGTGTGAAATGTTCTGATGTTTTGTTTTATTTATTGAGAGGCAGAATGAAGCTCTGAGTGTCATTCTCAAAACTCAATACTCGGGCTAGGGATTTAGATCAGTGGTTCTGTCACCTGCCTCACAAGTGCAAGGTCCCGAGTTTGATCCTCAGTACCAAACCAAACAAAACAAAAAAAACTCAGTACTCTCTTGAGTAGGGGCTGAGGCTTGGTTCAGGCTGATACTGGATAACAGAATCTTGTGACACCATTATAAGTGGTAACCATGGGGAAAGGACAGGACCAGACTAAATATTATAACACACACTGTCCTGCCCAAGCAAAGCTTATTGGGAGGGGAGAAGAAGGGGCTTCAGCTGCCCTGGGGCTTTGGCCGAAGGGCATAAACAACTGGTCCAGACAGTGACCAGGCTGCTGCTCCCGGAGCAAAGAGAGAAATGGGTTTCTATCGATTTTGCTGGGGAGACCTAAAGTCTTGTAATTCCCACTGGCCAGGGATGCAGTTCCCCAAAAAATGTTTCTTCTTGGATGGATGTGGACTACCAGGTGGTCACCATCAACCGTGGCATTTCAGTCCCTGGCACCATCATCCTGCAGGAGGCGCCGGCTCAGGAAGTGCTGGCATCAGCATCCTGTATTTGCTTCCTGGCCTCCTGATGGGGCTGAAGGACTCCAGGGCTTGAGCTGCTGAGAGCGCCTGAGGCGGGCCCGGAAGAAGCACAGACCAGCTCCATCCCTGAATCATAGCCTTGGGATTTTCATTCATTCATTCCTTAAGTAAGAAAGCATTCATTTCTTAGATGACCAGCAGGTCTCTGTGTCAATCTGAGTACAATCTGACCCAAGGATTAAGGCAGCAGAGGGGACAGACACAGTATGAAGACAGAGATGCCAAGCGCTGATCCCACATTAGTCACCCTTCAGACATCTGCAGGCCGGTGAGGAGGGTCAGTGTTTCAGCAAGAGCAGCCGTCAGGTCTGGGGGAGGCAGCCCAGGCACCGTTAGCATAACCCACACAGCAAAGCCAGTGGGAAGCTAACAGGGTATCACCCAGCGGCGTGACCTCTAAAATGAGTGATCTTAAGTTGGCTAAGAGCAAGTGAAGTTAGAAGTCTTGTTTAGATTGTTTTTCTTGGCGAAAATTTCTCATTTCATGCAAACATCCTGCATTTGTAGTTTTTATTTTTTTAATTTATTTATTTGTTAGCATGGATGGATCTCAGGAGTTCGTGGTTTTTATGATGGTCTCATGATGCTGCTGAAATACACCACACTACAGGGGTGATAGTTCACTGCATCCAGGGGCTTCTTTCCTTGCCCAGCCCTCTGTCCTACTCTCACCCCACCATGTTAGTCCCTCTCTGCCTCACAACCCAGAGATGTCTCCTGTTTCCCAGCAGGCCTGGCAGCTCCACACCAAGGGTCCTCAGGGTATGGCCCTGACCAGCAGCAGTAGCACTTACCGAAGATGTTAGAAATGCAAGTTCTAGGCTCCAGTCCATACCTGCTGAGTGAAGATCCCCAGGGCGAGGGGCCCAGCAGTCTGTATTTTAACAGGCGCTCCTGGAGACACCCTCTGCTGCACACTCCGGCTTGACTAGCTCTGCTTTACATCTTCCGTCCACATCCAGGGAACCCATCCTTATCTGCACGTCCTTATCTGGGTCCTTATAGCTACACACCATTAGCCACCCCACAGTCAAACAGGAAGGACCTTTTACTGAGTTGAGCAAACCAGGAACCTGGACAATATGATGGCCAAAGTTTTCCAAGTTCCCAAAGGCAAAGGCTTGCTGGCCTACATGGGGTCTTGGGCTGCTCAGGAAGCCGGGGGACATTATTTGGCACTCCCACTTTGGTTTTGGGGTACCATAGATCAGAGCCTTGATATATGGGGGAGGTGAAAGGAACTTTTGAAGGGAGGGGTAAGGGGCACAGTTCACCATGATTTCCGCATGTTTTCTGGAAAACATGGGGGATGGGGTGGGTATTGTAGCATTATGATCAGGGTGGGTGGAATACCACTACCCTGGAGGGGTGCTTCTCTCCAGTGTACCCAGAGTGCTCTTTATTCTGGGTCAGCTGGATGGGCGTGGAGGGCAGGGCCTTCCATTTTAGTGTCCTGTTAGGCCTGGGTTTGTTTGGTTAAGTGAGCTAAACTAAAGCCTACTGTGAGAAGTCAGTGAAGCTGGTCTTACAAGGCTACATGAAAGAGGTATGACGACCTTAGGCTCTTGGGTGTCCTCCTCCATCCCTTCACCTCCTTCCAGATCACCAGCCTTTCGGTGGTTGCTAAGGTGGTAGGCAGAAGCTGGTGGTATACAGAGCTGATCTAGCTCCCAGTCGGGTTTAGATTGGCTTGCAGAAAACTAATTGTAAAAAACAAGTCCTTAGCTAAATTTGGTGGTCCCACCATTTTGGGAGGGCCGGGCAACTTTGTGAAATCCTGTCTCAAGGTAAAAACTAAAAAGGGTTGGGTTTGGAGCTCAGTGCGAAGGTCTTGAGTTCAATCCCCAATATGGCAAAAACAAACAAGACATAAGTTCTTTTAATCAATTGCCAATATTTTAAAAATCAGGACAATTCAGGTAGGGTGTGGTGGTGCACCTCTGTAATCTCCACACTTGGGAAGCTGAGGCAGGAGGATTACCTGGAGTTTGAGGCCTGCCTGGGTTACATAGTGAATTCAGGGACAGCCTGAACTACAGAGCAAGACCTTGTCTTAAAACAAACAAGTCAGGACATTTCATATAAAATAAGGATTCCATCTTATCTTAACAAAAGCAGAAGTTCTCAGTCCCAGGCACGGCAGCCATGGCTAGGAGCGCCTCTTCCTGGGGCCCAGGCCTCCTCCCTCAATACTCTCCTTAATATTGTTTGGTTAGTACTGAATATTGAGGCTAAATCACCAGTGTTCTTTATCATCATGTAGGAACTGTTGTAAACCTATGAGCTAGGAAGATAGTGAAAATTTTGTACCACGTCTGTCTCTGTGTCTAAAGTAGGGCAGTCAGAATGAGAATGGCACAAGTTTCAAGCAGAATGGGAAGGAAACTCATTCCTGTGGAGCTGAAGAGTACTCCTGCACTTCCTGTACAAACTGTCCTTGTTGAGAGAATACACCCCGCCCCACCCAGCCCATTCCCACACTGGGGATTGAACCCAGGGCCTTCCCACTGAGCTACACCCCCAGCCTATTTTTTGCTTTTTCATTTTGAGCCAGAGTCTTGCTTGCTAAGTTGCTGTGCTGCCCAGGCTGGGTTTGAACATGGGAGGTCCCTGCCTCAGCCTCAGAGTGCTGGGATTAAAGGTGGGCGCCATCACAGCTGGCTGAGGGTACAAAAAGCTCTTATGAATCAAACTAACTCTCTTCACTCACTGTACTTTTCTGGTCCCTGATGGGCACTAATTTTCAAACTTTTTGGTCTCAGGACTCCTTTACTCTCTGAAAAATCATTAAGGATCTCAAAGAGCTTTTGTTTTAAGATGTTGTATGTTATATCTACAGTTGCTTAATGTATTGAAACTTGAAGAGCTGGGATGTAGCTCAGTGGTAGAGCGCTTGCCTAGCATGAGCAGGGCTCTAGGTTTGATTCTGAGTACCACGGAGAAAGAAGAGGGGAGGATTTTAAAGCACAGGATACACAGCACACAACTCAGCAGAGCAATGATGTCACTATTAGAAAAACTCTACTGTGTGCTCAGTAGAGTGAAAACAGCAAATGATGTTTTAGAAGTTTCCTCCTTGTGGAGCCCTGGAAGGAATCGAGTCCCTGGATCTTATTCAGAGCCTTCATTAGGCATTAATGTGTGACCCCTGTCTTAGGAAGACACCAAGGAGAGGCAAATTTGTTTAACTTTCATCTCCTGCTGTTACAACATAAATTCCAGATCTTTTGAACTGGGGAAAGAACAGAAAACAAATTTGTTTCACCAGGTTTCTTGTAAAGGCGCAGTACACACCAGTGCAGTACATCCCACTGAGCTCCAGCCCTTGCAAAACAGGGGCCAGAATAAGGTCCTGGCATAGGTCCCTGGCAGGGAGAAAGGACAACAGACACTCCAGTTTGAAAAATAAAAGAACCGGCCATTTTATTCCAAGATGGATATTGGAAGGGGACGGGAATAAATAAAGGAGGGCAACAGGGTTAGGGAAGGAGGCTCTATGTCTTGCAGCATATCCCACACCTTGTGTTCTTACAGCAGCCACAGCAGAAAACGCAGATGGGAAAGTGGGTGTCCCGCCTCCTTAGCCTCTGCAGTGTGGGCTGTGAAGAGGAAGGGAGAGTCCGTGCTCGGGTCTGGGGTGGGGACCAGGGTGTGGGGACCAGGGCAAGTCTCCATCACTCTTACCGTGAAGCTGGCCTTGGCTTCGGTTGTACTGTGGGGCTGGAGGTCTGCAAGCTGTCCTGTCTGAAAGAGAAGGGGTACTGAGGACGGCAGAGCTCTCAGGCTGCCCCCGCCCACCTGCTCCTGTCCCAGTGTCTGAGACCTCATGGCCCGCTGGACTCCGAGGAGGGACCTTGCCTTTTTGCTCTTCTCATAATCCCTTCGGCACTCTCCTCCCTAAAAACATCGCAGATCTGTCCACCTTCTCCCCCGACAGCCGCTACTCTCCTTTGGGATATCACCCTCCCCTGTCTGGATACCAGCATCGGCCTCTTGGAGCATCTGCCCACATCTTGCTCCGTAGAATACTGCCGTCGTGTAGCAGAGTGACTTCTAATGTTACCAGTTGGATCTTGGCTTTCCCCACTTTAAAAACCGATAGGATGTCCCTGGCACCTCGAGGATAAATTGGTGTCTACACGGTTGAATTCTGCATACCCTTGACCTCATCTCCCGGCACCATTCTTGTCCAGCCAGCTCTCTGATTTCCCAGTACCCCTGCTTGCCCCACCTCGCTGCTTGTTTGCTCCCCACCTGTTACTCTCCAAGGCAGAGGCACAGTATTATTTTTCTCAAGTCTTGACTGCCAGCCCCTTGTCCAGTCTGGTCGCCCTGGGTCACTCCACACTATCTTATGCTATTCATGAGCAGCACTTACTAAACACAGTTATTCATTTGTTTGAATTGTTCACAAACTAATGCCCTGACCAGGATGTAAGCTCTGTAAGAGCAAAAATCTTGTCTCTCTCCTACCAGTGTGCCCCACTGCATCCCATCTGCAGGAAGAATCACAGAGTAGCATTCAGCGATACAGTGCAATGAGGGATCCCTGCTACTCTACCCCATCCCTGTTTTTCCAGCAGGTTCAGGTGCCCCAGAGCTGGCCTCAGCTCAGCAGCATCCCCACCACCACCAAGATCTGGCTGTCCGACCCAGCTGCCCTGCGGGGACCCAGCCCCACAATACTCTTACCTGTGGCTGGACAATGGAGCCACTGGTCAGGCTGGCAAGGAGGAGGGCCAGCAGGCAGGCAGCCTGGATCTGAGTGTTCAACGCCATCGCGCCGTCTGTCTAGCCAACCCTCCGCTGGGTCTAGGACTTGCTCTGGTGTCTGGGGCTCAATTTCCATCCTTTTTATGAGGCCCACTGGAGGAGGCGGTGGTCTGAGCCCCCACCCCTCTGCCCTAAGTCATTTCCAAGAAGGTAGTGGCGCCGCAAAGGCGGGAGAGATAAGCGGGAACAGTGTCGGGGACAGAGTTGTGTCACCCTGTGCCAGCGAGGTGTGTCTAGGGGGTGGAGCAGACAGGGCCACACATCCCTCTGGCCAGCTACATGGGAACACTTTTCCCCAGTGTGACGTCACCCTGTTGATCTCAGAAAATCCCACTCTTGCTTCAGAGGTTGGAGGGCAGGAGCAGAGTGCTCCTCCCTCTCACCCTCCCTGGACTCATCAATGCCCGCAGGTTGACAGGGCCAGTGTAGCTGCAGGGAGGGCTATCCCACTGTCCTGGGGCCTCTGGGCACGTGCACTTCTGGGAAGGACACTGGATAGCCAGGTGCCTAGACCACGCTCACGTTGATGTGTCTGTAATGGCTGGAAAATGACCACAGAAGGTGGCATCAGCATTAGCATCTGGTTTCTTACATGCTAGCGTATTAATTGCCTTTGTGTTAGCCAGTGCTACCTGGCCTCTATAGTGCCTGGGCTCTGCCAGCATTTGGGGGTCTCAGCTGCCTCCTCAGCCACTGACCCGAGTTGACTTCTCTGGTGCCAAGACTTGTGCTCATCAGATCACAGAATAGAGGGCACAGCAGACTGTGACGGACCCTCTTATGCAAGTTCCCACTTGATGCAGCAAGGGGAGTATCTATGCCACAGAAACAGGCAAACACGGGCTCTTTAGAGCTGGTTCCCCGGACACCACTGGCTGGGGAATGATCCAAAGCTGACTGCACTACCGTCATTCCCATCTACCTGGACCACCCTGCGGTACACACGGCCCACAAACCTGGATTCCTGCCTGACCCACGCCAGGGTCATTATGTTACCCCTGTGGCCAGAGCCTGGGAATGATACAGTCAACAAACACTCCTTCCTGGCTTCTCAACTGCCCAGACTCACTGGACACTGTGAAAATGGATGGTCCCTGGGGAGGGCTGCTTTCTCTGCCTCTTCACCGCACACGGCAACTAATCATGCCACACTCTGAGAGGCTTCACAGGGGAAAGCACAGGAAAAGGAGACAGGGAAACCAGTTATAGCACTTGGTGGCAGAGTAGGTAGGGAGCTCAACAAGGTGACCCAGAGGCAGGCCCAATCTCAGGAGGCACTGAAGAGGGGCTGCACACTGACCCTTGGTGGACACAACAGCATCCTCCAGCCCCAGCAAATGTTGCTGCACTGACTCAGGCCAGGTTTCATCATCAGCCAGGGGCAGGGGTCACAGCACAGGCGCCAGAGCCCCGGTGTGCGGCGACAGGCTGACGGGCCAAGCCTGGCTTCCTGGCCATCTGCCCTCCCTGGGGGTGGGGGGCTCAAGGCCAGTCCCCATCATTGGCTGGTGCAGAGGGGAGGGCTTCAACCCACAAGGGCAGGGCCAGGAGCCAAGCCTATTTTCAGGAATTGGTGACACGGGAGACCCCAACCTCTCTTCCAACAGCACGGGACATGTCCTTGACCCTAAGTCCTCCTACCCCCACTCTACATCTGCACGCTTGGGGCCTCAAAGAGGATACTCAATCCTTAATTCCTCCATCTGACCAATGGACTGGGACCCAGGTGTGTGGGATGGCAGGGACTGGTACACTGCCACCAACACAACAGCTCAAGTCTTGGCTTTGGGGAGCTCTGCACTGATCCCAGTCCCTCCCCAGGCCTGAGACGGACAGATATTGACAGACAAGGCGGGGGCCACATGGGGCCAGTTTATTGCAGTTAAATACCTCTCTCTCTTTTTGTCCATTTTTCCATAAAGAAAATTAAAACGCACACACACGCACGCACGCACGCACACTCACACACCCAAAGGGGAGCAGGGATCCAGAAACAGAGGTGGAGTGGGGCATGACCTTCCTGCTTAGGTCCAGGCCCCAGGGTGGCCCCCCAAAAGCTCCCTCCTTCCCATAAGCACCCTGTCTCAGTACCTCTAGAGACCAAGGAGGCAGCAGGAAATGGCAAGGCCTCTGTCCTCCTCCCTCTCGCCCCCTGGTATGACCACCAGGAGTGCTGGGGCCTGGGGAGGGCTGGAGAAAGGAAGTGGACAGACAGGTGGGAGGGGGTCATTTCCAAGTAGAGGAGGGCAGTGGGTAATGTATCCACAGAAATGCATTATTTCATTTCATTTTTGTTAAAAATCTACTATAAAAAACGCAGCTGGGGGAGGGCATGTGTCCCTCTCTGTGCTAAGGGCTGGGGGCGGGGCGTCATGGCAGAGCGGGCATCACTGCCGGGCACTCTCGCCCACCATCTCCAGGTTGTGCTGCTGCAGCTGGGCTCGAAGCAGGGCGTTCTCATTCTTCAGCTCCTCGATCTGTAGGTGCAACAGGGGACAAGTGAGCCGGGGCTAGCTCTGGGTCCTGGGGGTCCTGGGGCACTCATACGCACCTGTTGCCTCAGGAGCTCATTGTCTACCTGCAGCCGCTCAGCCTCCTTGAAGGTCTCCTGCATGCGCTGGTTGGTCTGGCGCAGCTCCCGGATATAGTCACAGGCCTTCGACAGGATGCCCCCTTTACTCTGGTGGGCGAGAGCATCAGAGGGAGCACTGCCCACCAGCCCACCCAGGACAGCACCAGTGCTGGGGGTCAGTGGTCCAGGCTTCCAGCAATGCAAGGCCAGGTGGCCTCCTCGCCAGTGGGCAGGTGACACTTACCGCTCCTGTCTTGCTATTGTCTGTGTTACAATCTGGAATGATTTTTGAAAGTTGGACGATCCAGTTGTTGATCTTGTCCCTCCGCCTCCGCTCCACTGCAGGAAAATGGCGGTAATAATGGCTACCCAAAGGCACTTTCTCCTCCTGCCCTGAGCTCAACAGTGCTAGGAAGTGCAAAGACAGAGAGCCCTGGCTGCACTGCTTCATAGGGGGACAACTAAAACCCCAACCTCAAACACCACACACCTTCAGGACAGAATTCAGAAGCTACATACTACTGGGCATAGTGCCACATCCCTGCGACCCACACTCTGGGGAGGCTGAGGCAGGAGGACTGAAAGTTCAAGTTCAGCAACTTAACAAGTATCTGTCTCTAGAAACTGAATGAATGAACAGGACAAAATATAGCTCATTACTGGATTTAATTCCCCTTACAGCCAAGCAAAACAAAGCAAAGCAAACCCAACCCAAGCTAAGCAGAGCAAAACAAAGTAGAAAAAAAGGAAGAAGAAGAAGAAGAGGAAAAAAAAGCTCTAGGGACTGTGATTTCTTTCCCTGGCCCACCTAGCATATTTATGAAAATCTGAGTAATTTAAAAATTGGGAAATTCCATGTCATAATGATCATTTGAGGCTTCTTTTGAAAAACTGTAGCTCTGGGCAAAGTGGGCTCCTACTCTCAGGAGGTTAAGAAGTGGGTAGAGACCCTTCACATAGGACCCAGTAACACTGGATTCCACAGCCCCTGTATGGATTCTCTACCTCTTCCCAGAAACTCTGGTCCCCTGATGTTGCTTTTCGCATCCATATATCAAACCTGATCATGCCTTGCCCCTGGTTAAATCCTTCTCCAGGACCCTGGCAGCAAATTCCAGCTCCCCAGATGGCACCTGTGGCTCTCAGAAGCCTGACCCCACAGGCTTTGGCTCCTAGGAACCATACCTTGGCCGTACACCTTGAAGGCCAAGAAAGGCAGAGTGATTTAGAAGTTCACTTCAGAAGTCCAGATTCAGGACTTCATAAAACTCTACAATCTCCCTCAAAGTCACAGGCACCTTCCCCCTGGCCCATGTCACACCCTTAGGACACCTATATTTGGACAGTACACATCTGAGCCAAAGACCACAGTCTCAGAGCCTGGGTGTAGCTGCCCAAACCTTCAGAAACACTTGAGCTCAGGACTACACCGTGGGTACAGGGGCCCGGGTGTCCTCTCCTCCTTGCCAGGAAGGTTTAGGAGGTGTGTGGTGTTTGTGAAGGGATAAGGAAGCACTTTGTGTGGGGTGGGCAGGGACCCTGGGGGAATCATGGCGGCGGGGGGGGGCTTCTCCTGAGTTCAGCACCTCCCCAGCCGTGCCCTGCCCTGTAGAAGTTCTCCTGGCCCGTGAGCAACCCACGTCCTCTTTTGGTCCCATCATTCCACTGCTGTGGACCAGCCCACACCACCTAACCCTAACCCATGGGGATTCTTCCTCCTGTGCTCTGACTACGGCTCAGAGGCCTGCCCTTTCTCTCCCCTTTCTCAGCACCGTGCACCATGCTGAGAACGTGGGGAACGGGACGCATCTCAGCTGGGCTCAGGAGGGAGCTCGGGGCCCTGTTACGGTCACCGTGAACAGAAACCTGCCATCAGGGATGGCTACCTCTTACGGGAATGCTGTGACCAAAAGCAGCAACAAAGCGGAGAGTCCCCAGGCCGGGCCTGGTGCCACCACACCCCTCCCGCAGTATGCTCCATCCATCCCCAAGCCCTCAACAACACCCCCACTCCCCGCAGTCTAGAGCTCCTGGAGCTGGGTACTGAGCTGCAGCCGCACTCACAGGCCCTTCTCCTTCCACGCCGCGGCAGGGTGAGGGGTGACACGCCTCACATTCGCACGTCTACGAGACCTAACCCCTGCCCCACCACGGGCAGGAAGGGACCAACCCCACGCTGTCGAGGTTTGGGAAGCGCCAATCCCTCTGCCTGCGAAGTGCCCAGGAAGGCAGAAGGGTGGGAAACAATGTTTCCTGCGCAGCCTGGGGGGTGGGATGAACACACAAACCAAAGGGAGGTGCATCAGGTAGACAGGCAGCGAGGTCCCAGAGCCGGTGACACGAAAACATGCTGGGAGTTGCAACTGCTGGGTGGGGGCTGTACCAGCGGAGCTGCGTGCCTGGCCTGCTCTGCCCGCGGGCCGACCTCGTCTCCTCCTCCAGGGCCTCGCTCCTCGTGATCAGGGCCTGCACTAAGCAGGCTGCACCATGTCAGGCCTGTGCCTTGGGAAGACCACGGTGGCACATTTGAAAGGGAGGAAGAACAGGGCCACGTCCACTCTATAGACGCACTTCAGTGACACTGAACGACACTAAACACGCAATTCGGCAGCAAAGTCTGCCAGGACTAAGGGCACAAATGGGCAAATCTAAAAACGAGCTGGAGACATCGACACTCTTTTCTTAACTGATAGAATAAGTACACAAGATTTCAGGGCAGAAAACACAAATATACTCAACCAACTCAGCCTCTGTGATCCTGAGGAAATCCCTACCCTACAGTAGCAGGCACATGTCCTTGTCACGCACATGCATCACCTCCACCAAGCCAGACCACAGCCAGGCTTGAGATAAGCCTCACATGTTTCAAAGAAGTGAAACCATACAGCATGTTCCTGACCACCACAAAAGAACTAAATTAAAAATCAATTAGCACTGGGTGTGATGGCGCACACCTGTAATCCCAGCACTCGGGAGGCTGAGGCAGGAGGATCGCTGTGAGTTCAAGACCAGCCTGGGCTACATAGTGAGTTACAGGTCAGTTTCAACTACATGGTGAGACCCTATCTCAAAAAACCAAAACAAAACAAAAAAATCAATTAGCAAAAAGATATCCAGAAAATCCACAAATATTTTGGAATTAAGCAACACACATCTAAATAATCCCAGGGTCAAAGAAATCACTTGGAAATACATGGTGAAAATATAACCGATATAAATGGGATGCAGCAAAGACTCACATTAGGAAGAAGAAAAAAAAAGATCTAAAACCATAAGAAGTGAAAAGGGGGAAGCTGGGCATAGTGGCGCACTCCTGTAATCCTAGCACTCAGGAGACTGAGGCAGGAGGGTTGCTGTGAGTTCAGGGCCGGGCTGGGTTACACAGGGAGACCTGTCTCAAAAAAAGAAAAAAGAAGGGGAACAAAGATTAAAACTCAGCAAATCAAAATCTAAGAACCATAGAAGGAATGAATTAGTAACATAACAGTGAAACCAATGACACAGAAAAACCAATTCAGTTTGGCTTTTAAGTCATATTTCACATAAAGATCTGAATTTCTGGCAACACTGGGCCTAAATTCTGCCATGGCAGCAACGGACTGACCTGCGAACCCCAATTCAGTAGGGTCCCCTCCCCTCTGTCACACCAACTGCACTTCACCCCTTCAGCCCATCTTCCCCAGGGCACCCTCCCGGAGGGGCTCCTGCAGAACCAAGGGAGAGATGCTCACATGGAACCCACTTCAACACAGAATCTCAAGGTTGTGTGGACACAGGGGAGAAGAGGGCACAGTGGAAAGCCACGCTGGCCTTCGCTCCGGTCACGGTAACTGGGACAGGCTGCCTTTTGCTGCTATGGTGAGAGAAAGGAGACAGGAGCATTTGGGGAAGGAGACAGCAAGTTCTGGGTTGGACCAGCTGAGCCTGAGACATATCAAGGATGGCCAGAGGCGGAGACTGAACTGTCCTCCACACAGGGGCCTGGAATCCGAGAGAGAAGGGTGGCATAGAAACAGCTTTGCGCATCACTGGGTTCTGTGGTGGACACAGAGAAGCAGTTCTCACCTTGCTGTGACTGACAGACTTTCGGGAAAAAAAAGAAAGAAAAGATGCCTAAAACTGGGGATGAAGTTTTGGGGATACCAATCAACCAGAGTTGTCCCCATGGGCCATACCCCTGGGACAAAGGGAAAAAGAGACCACACCTTAAGAATCCCAACCGCCAAAGCCAGTCCCTGGCCTGTCTAACGTGCAGAGGCTACTGAGGAACCTGGAAGCCCAGATTCCTGGGCCTCCCCTCTGATCTAGTCATTGTGAACCTCCGGGGAGAGCCCTGCAGGCCGAGTTAACAAGCCTCCCGGGAAAAGTTAGGAGGCCTTGTCCTGAGGTACAAGAAGGAAAGGAGAAGAAAAGGTGGTAGGAAAATCGGAAAACAGAAGGGAACATTCAGGAGAGGAGGAAAATGGGAGGGTCAGATGCTTGGAGCTCAGACAGGAAAGGAAGCCAGTGGATTTGGCAATGAGGTCATCACAGGTGACCTTCAATAGGTATGGCCAGGAAGCCAAGGGGACAGGGACGATGGGCACACAGCAAGTCAAATGTTCTGCAGATGACTGGCGAGAGGGCAAGATGCAGCTGGCAGGAAGAGGTCACGAAGAGGCTGAGAACTGCTCAGGATGGCCCGGAGGTGGATAGATCTAGGCAGAGGCAGAACATGGGCCAGGAAGCCCGCTGCGAGGAACACAAGTGCCACCACGCACTGTCACGCCTCAACTTCAGCCTTGGTCAGTGCCATTTTAAAGGGGACAGGTACAGAGAATAAAACCAACCTGAGGCTACATGGCCAGAAAGTGGTGGACCTGGGGCTGCCTTGGTAGCCAAGCTCCAACCACCCCACCCCCATCCCCCTCAAAGCAACCTGACCTCAGCCTACAGCCAGGTCTTGAGCTGTTTTCCCCACACTCATCCTTTTCATACCCTGTGGTCTTGGGCCAGACACCTGTGCCTACCTCCTGCTTTCCTAGCCTCTGGCTCCCCCTCCCACCCTGGCAGGGTTTCTCACAAGACTCTGCTAGCCGCCACCTCAGCTCTGCCACCTTTTATTTCCTGAGCTCTGCTCTGTTCTTCAAACACAGTCAGGGCCTAGATGTTTGCACACATTCTTCCTGCTGCCTGGGACCCTTCCCAGGTCCCAGAGTGGCTTGTTCCCTAAGGTATCTCTGGCGCTCGCTCAAATGTTTCCCCTCGAGGGGCCTTCTGAGCACAGTTCCTGTGCACTTCCTCACCCAGCTTATCTTTCTCCAAGAACCCTATCATGCACCTAATGTCATCCTGTGGCTGTGTGCAGCTTCTCTTTCTCCCACCACCGTGAACACTGTAACAGCTGAGACCACATCTATCCTATCATCCAAGCACCCAAACGCCCCAAGGAGGGCCAGCCCAGGTATTTGCATGTTGGCCAGAGGTCTGAAGCCAGCAAACTCCTTAGTGCAGAGCCCACACAGGCCTCCAACCCCTACCCCACATCAAACAACTGCAGGACGCAGGGCCTCAGCTTGGCACTCAAGGCCTTTCCTGACCTTCTTGGGTCCCCTCCCAAGGCAACCACAGGAACCTCTGCCAACCAAGCCAGCACCCACAAAGCAACCTGTCCCTCCACTCCACGCTCTGATAGGTGGGCAAAGGTGCAGGGTTGGCTTCCTCAGCCACAGGCCCTCTGTCTGCTGAGACTCTGACACTCCGGGTCAGGGTCCAGACCTGGCACAGGGCCCACACTGCCCAGCTTCGGACCCAGGGTCAGTAAATATTTGTCAAATGTTAGCTGTTTGAGTATCAGTGCTCCCTTGGCTCCTGCAGGCTGCTCTGTCCACTAATCAAGGTGATCAACTGAAGTGGAAACAAGAACCACACTGAAGGACAAAAGGCTTCAGCGTGTGATGTGCTGTTGCTGGGAAGGGAAGACTGCTTGGTCCTTTGGTGGCCAGAGGCACGACTTCCTGTGGCTTCCTTCCTTAGGATCTGAAATGCTGCCAGATGGAAGGCAGGTGGCATGGGAATGAGAGGCAAGGGTACAACAGCTGCCTGTGGAAGCCTGGCCAGGGGTGGGCAGATCAACCCAATTTTTCAAAAGGAGCAGAAGATTCATATGCAAATGTAAAAGGTGCCTGCTTTAGATGCTGACTATTAATTCAAAGGCACAAGGCAGGCATGGGCACACACGTGCCCAATTTCACTTCATGCCTGTTCCTAACACTACTCTCTGTCCCCATTTCAGCCTTTCTGACATCCAAAAGGCACGTCTCAAACACGTGAGACCCGCGCAGTAACAAGCCAGAGCTGCTTCCCTGTCTGACTCCAGATGTCAGGACTGGCTGGGGCTGGGAGGCTGCAGCCTGGGCTGGCCCACCTACCCCTTGCCCTTACCTTCATTGTGCTGAGCTCTCCGTCTCTCATCTCGAGGTGTTCTGGTTCCATCAATTTTTCTAGAAGGGGAAGGAAAATGAGGCACACGTTGTCTCAGACCTACACGCTCAAGCACTTACTAAACAGCCAGACTTAATAATTATCTTTGCAAGGCAAACCCATGCACAAAAAGAGAAGAAACATACTTTCTAAGCAAAGAAAGCAAAGGCAAAGAAATACATTTTGTCCTGCTGTGTGCCAACCCACCCAACTCCTGCGCCAAAAAAGCCTTCCTTCAGCCCCAACAGCAGACCCTCCCATCACAGGGGGCCGACATTCCTGCACCTACGGAGAGTAGGGGTGTGTCCGGGGTGCAATCGTTCTCTGCGTTCCTGTCTGAAGCACGTCCTGAGGAGTCATCATGACATAGAACTGGCCTGCAGTGACAGCATTGGTCAATGACAAGACAAGGAAAGGACTGGAAATGGCTAGAGGCTTCCCGGCCTGCCAGGCCCACTGCCTCCCTTCTTTCCACCCCGGCCCTTCCTCTTCTCACCTCCAGCCTGCAAGCTCTGGTCTGTAGTCTGTACAGACACAGCCGTTGTATCTCCCACAGTGGATGCGGGGAAGTAGGCAAACCGTGCCTCGCCACTGACAGCCTCAGCCGCCGGGCTGCCACCATTGCTGAAGGGATTTTGGATTACAGCCTGGGGAACAGACAGAGGCTGCCCTTAGCCATCTCAATCCATTCATTCCCCTTGTTGCTGTGCTTGGTGGGTCCTACATGCTCTATGGGGGGGGACCCCCTCTGTCCCTAGGTCTCAGATGCCCTGAAGCCACTCAGGTACTCGGCCATCATTTATTTGTTGGGCTCTTCACTTTACTTTAAGAGGCTTTCCTCTAAGAGACACGTTTCCTTTTTTATAGTTTTTGAGACAAGGTCTTATCCAACCTGGACTTACTAGAAATCCAGGCTGACTTCTAGCTATACACTAGCCTCAGCCTCCCAAGGGCTAGGATTTCAGGCAAGGGCCACCATGCCTAGCTCACCATTCCCATTTTATACAACCAAAAAGTTAAAATAACAACATACAGCCCAATAAATCACTACACACAACAGAGAATCTGACCTCACAGGCCTCATTACCTGAAGGCAGCACCTGTCAGCCACCTGCCCCACCCCCTGGGGCTCCCCAAAGGCAGAGCAGTGCTCCTTCTCCACCCCCGCACAAGATACTGGGCACCTACCAGCGGGAAGGGTGCGGCAGGACCTGGGGGCACAGAGGCAGCAGCGGGGCCGGGGCGCTGGGCTGCCCCGTCCACACCCACCTGGGTCACAGCCTGCTGCCCCCCCGCGAAGGCAGCTGTGGACACGACGCTGACGGCACCAGCTGTGTCGCCCTGGCCATCCAGCTGACCATCAGTCACCTGGACTACGCGGTATGTCACCTGCAGGGGGCAACAGAGCGACGAGACGGGCGCTGGGGCTGGGGCAGGGGCAGGGGCA